AAGAACCCCTCGCATAGGGCAACGAATGTCGCAATGTGCTGGATCCCATTGGGGGTAAGGTGATGTAGCTCCACCTGATAGTAGTCCAGCAGTCCCCGAAAGAACTAATGGGCGGGCATGGCGAATCCCCGCTCATGGAAGTGGGCGAAAGACACGACATACCCTTTGGGCGACTGCGGCTCGTCCTCTTCACCGGGCAGCCACCACTCCTCGGTGATGGTCAACAGGCGAAGGAGGCCTCGACGGATGCGGCCCTCTAAGCGCTGAGGGGAGATGTTGGATTTGTACCCCGGGTCCATTACGACGGCGGGAGTAGCACGGGGAAGAAGGCAGCAGCGAGTTTGATGGCAGGAGCAGTACGGGTGCGAGAAGCTCAGGCGATTGGCGGCGGAGGTTGAGAATGCGAGGGCAAGGAAGCAAAGTACGGAACCCTAGGGGCGAACTCTGTGGTTTTATAGGGGCGATGAATGCGAGAAGGGCAACGATCCACCTCAATCTCCGAACCTGCCACGACACACCACCGCGTCACGTCATAGGACACGCGCACACGATCCCTATCCCTTCCCGCAAAAGTCACGCCAGGCGGTTCGCCTTCCCCAGGAGGACCAGGACTCCCTTCCCACCGAGGGAACATGGGTCACAAAGCCTTTCTCTCCGGCCCACAAGAGGGCCCCGGAGCCTAAGAGCCGTCCCAACGAAGGACGGGCCCGCAAAACAACCAGGACACAAGCATCACTAGGGCCTCGATCCGCAGTCAAGCCCCAACCAAGCCGACCCTGAATGAAATCCCCGCGAATGGGATACCATGATTCCCTTAAAAATATTCAGTTGACGAAAAACCAAGTCTTACGGCCTTACCCGCGAAGGGTCCGATACTACCCCCGGGCGATTATACTCGAATCACCCGAGAGCTCGGGGGCTACACCCACCGGGTGCGCTCGCGCGCACCCTCTGGCGAATTGACTTCGATACTACCCCCGGGCGATTCTACTAGAATCACTCAGGGGCTCGGCGACGAGCGCACCCTCTGGCGAATTGACTCTAACAAAATCAAGACACCCCCGGGCGATTCTGTCCGAATCACCCGGGGGCTCGAGGGCTACTATCGGGGACCTAATACCGGGGTACCCAAGGAGGTGGAACTAATAACCATCGAACGTTAAAAACTCCCAAACGGACAAGAGCACTACTGCACTTCTTGCCCGAACGACAAGAGTTTGGTTCCGCCTCGCCGGACGCCCGTGGGCCAGCTCCGCCTCACTCAACAGCTGGAGGACGGCTCCGCCTCACCCGAGGGCTAAGGGCTAGACTCCGCCTCGCCCGACCCCCGAGGGCTGGGCTCGGCCTCGCCCAATGGATAAAATCTAGGCTCCACCTCGCCCAACGTCCGAGGGCGGACCTCGCCTCGCCCGATGTCCAAAGGCTGGCTCCGCCTCGCCTGACAACCGCACCCCGCTCCCTTATGATGATAGGCATAGGGTAAGACAAGACGTTTGGGTCAACCGCGGCATCGAGGACCATGCCCTGCGCCCCTATAGGAAAGTACCGTCAGGGCATGATGGGACGAGCGCTTAGACCCTTCTAGGCATGGCAGAGCCTGAATAGTTTTGTAGGCGCGTGCTCTTCGTCCTACAGAGTTGTAGGCGCCGCCTTCAGCCTCCGGGTGAAGAACCCGACACGGACATACGACAACCACTATGTTCTAAGGAGGGACTCCCGTCCTCTACAGTGGCAAACGAGCAGTCACCACGCCATCCGCTCCCCACGGGGTCGGAGATCGACAACCTTGTCCGACACGCCGCCCACGGGGGCGGGACGGGACGCACCCACTTGCTAAATGAGTCCAGGGCATGGCCTACGAAGATCAACAAACACGCCACCCCTGACACGGTCTGCCATGTTATGCAGGGCAGGCGCGGAAAAAAGGGAGACCCAGATCCTTCGAAGGACCTTCTATACTCTTGGTATTTTACTCTTTCTCCCATCTGTAACCCCTGCTCCCCCTTGGTCTATAAAAGGGAGGGCAGGGCTCCCTACTAGAGGGACTGACTTTGGACGGACAACTCACACACAGACGAACTCATAGAGAGCTCGGTTCCACACATCACGCACACAGCTAGGCCGTCACCAAGCTCTTGGCATCCTTTCGACCCCTCCATCAGAGACCTAGGACCAGTCCCTCTCTCGACCGTTTGTACCCCCTACTACGAACCTTTTTCGGTGCTAATAACACGAGCAGCAATAGACTGGACGTAGGGACATTTAACCCAAACCAGTATAAACCTTGTGTCCTTGAGCACACCATCCGAGCCTAACGCGCGTTCGAAACACCGACAACATGAATGTATATAGCTTAACAGAATGATATATCACATACTGAAGTTATGTGGTTTTGATTCTATGAATCAGTGGTCATTATCTATAAAGGTAATGCAACTTGTGTTGTGTAGATGGAGATAAGTTATACTTAATGCAATATTTTGCACTAAGATGGTTCTATTCCATAGGTAATATGGGCATTAGAACATTTGCAAACTAAGTCTTGTTATAATCTCATAGAAATATTCACAAAGTCAACCATACTCCACATTTCTTATATGTTGAGTGCATTGGTATGAATTTACTTCGAGGTTTGTTAGTACCAGGGGGAGAGTCTCTCTGATTAATAACTTGTTGCAAACATCATGTTCCACTCTTTTCTTTGTATGAGTTTTTCCCTTTGGGTTTCTCATATAAAGTTTTTAATGAGACAATATCAACACAAGGTTATGTCATATCATCCATTTTTCCCCACAGGGGTTTTTGGTGGATGATATTAGGACATAAGATGCATTATACTCTTTTCTTTATTAGAGTTTTTTCCCTTTTGAGGTTTCCCATATAAATTTTTTGATGAGGCAATGTCAATACAAAGGTATATGCTGTATCACCTAGTTTTTCCCACCAGAATTTTTGGAAGATGATATTTGAAGCATATTGACCCTATGGTCAAAGTGTTTTTAGACTAAGACTTTGGGTTTATCTTAAAGGATTAATAACATTGGTGATTGTATATCACGATGTTTTCTTCTTATTTTTTCTATTGGGTTTTAAGGAGTTTTGCCTGGTATACCGGTATTACTTTGGTTTTTTCCCACAGGGTTTTCCAAAGATTCGTAAAGATGCATAATAGATGAACAATAAAGACTACAAGTAGCTAATTGATCGAGGGGGAGTGTTGAGAATTATTAGTTAGTGCTCAATTAAGGATTATTTCAAGGGGGTGTCCTTTCACCTCTCTCTCTCACACTTATAACCGTCCACATGGACCCTGTATATATGTCCATACTGTGCATTGGAAATGCGATACAAAATTATTTGCATCGATCCATCTCTCTATTTTCTAACAGAATGGAGGTGGTTAGCTACGATACCTTAGTGACCAAATCAGTAATACGTATCAAAGTCAAGATCATTGCGTTAAAAGGGCATCGATCACAAGGAGGATTCGACGAATCAAATTCGTCGCTATACATATACTATAGTTTATCTTCAACTTTACCATCGTCTTCTTCGTGGAGACTGATTCTCATTGCTTTCTTTTCGCGTGTCGTCTTTGTATATTTGAAACTGAAAATAAGCCGGATTTACATTTGGAAGTCGTTTCACATCTTGCAGGGCTGTACATTTTCTCGAGTTTACAGATTTTGCATTCCCGTTGTTTTCGCAAAAACGAATGTATCTAATTCATAGGGAGGAATTAGCGTTACAAAAATGGCATAGTATGCTATTATTAAATTAATTATAGAATATATTGTCATAATAAATTTATTTAGAGACATAAATGTTAATACTATTTACTATAAAATTGGTCAAGGTTGAGATAGTTTGACCGATACGGATCTTATAATTATAATATATATTTTTTAGGACGGAGGTACTACATATTTTTCTTTTTGAAAAAACCCATCCGTACACAAAATTGCAATTATATGTTTAAGACTATGTACTCGAGTTTGACCTATTCATAGAAAATATCAATATTTGTGTCTCCAAATAGACTTATTATAAAAATATACTTCATAACCAATTTAATAATATGCGTAGATTATGTTTGGATCCATAAATTAATAGTTCGCTCCTTTGGATCTAAATGGATCCAGCTAATTGTTAGTTAATAGCTAACTAACAACTATCTTACTAGTTGATCAAACCAGCTAATAATTAGCTAGCTAATAGTCAGCTAGGTAATATTAGCTACGAACTATTAGTTAGGTAACTTTTAGCTCTATAGATCCAAACAGAATAGCTAACTCCTTGGATCCAAACATGTTTAATTAATAGTTTAACTAATTGTTAGCTGAATATCTAACTTACAGCTATTTCACTAGTTAGACTAAACTAGCTAATACTATTAGCTATGAACTAGTAGCTACTCATATTAGTTATGAACTATTATCTAGCTAACTATTATAGCTAATAGATCCAATCAAGACCTTATTTGATATAACTAACTACTATTAGTTGTTTTTAGCTGATTTGACCCAACTAGTAAAAATAGTTGTTAGTAGAATATTCAACTAACAATTAACAAGACTATTAGTTAGATTTGTACATACTAAAGGAACTAATTATTAGTACCTAACTATTTTGTATTAGCTCGATCTAGGGATCCAAATATAGTCTTAAAAATTGTTTGATTCGTCAGAAAATAAAATGAGATTTGCATATTTTTTTGACGGAGAGAGTATTAGGTCATGTCCAATCGTCCTACAATTTCATTCGCGGTTAAAATGTTACATTCATAAACCAACGTCGCTAACCACGGGCAACGTAGAGTTGGAGACGACGGAGAGGGCAACCGGCCGACCCCACACGTCAGTGGTTGCTGGGCGGCCTGCGTAGTTGAACGCTGCCGTGCCGCTGCGCAAGCCGCGAGGCAAGCGGCCGATCGCCGCCGGTTCCGCGCTGCCAGGTGGGGCCCACATCTGGCGGCTTCCCCGCTTCCTCCTCCGGATCCGATGCACCACGCCTCCCCCTCCTCCTCCGCCGCGGCGCGCCCCGGGGCAGAGGAGTTCCTCGTGGATATCGTCAGCGACGAGGAGATGGCGCTCATCGATGCCGCGCTCGCCGCCGCCGCGGCGGGGGCACGCCCCCTCCTCTCCGCAGCGGCCCGCCGCGCCGCCGTCCCGCTCTCCTGCGCGGCGTACCCGCCCGCCGCCGGCGACATCGAGGACACGCCTCTGCCGCGGAGGTCTCGGCTCGCTCGGTTCCGGGAGCGCCGCGCGCTCGCCGTCACCGATATCACCGCCACGGTGACACCGCCGGCCAAAGCTCGCGCCTTTCGCATTTCGTTGTCCAAGCTCGCGTCTTTCGCATTTCGTTGTCTTGTCTTCTGGGCAGATCAGATGCGCTCGTGTCGAGTGATTCTGATGGTGACCGTACTTCTTGCTACAGGAATGGTGCGAGAAGCAGATGGAGTTCGTGCTCGAACGGGGCAAGCCGGAAAAGACCGTGGCCATGAAGGTCGGTTCGGACCGCCATGCCCAGCTCGAGCAAGAGGTGAGCCAACATTTCTGGTTCTTCCAAGCGGAATGCCGTGCCTTTTCCATCATGACTTCACCATGAAAAATTCCCCGAACGAATCTCATTTCGACCTGTTTCCTTTTGGACCAGGTTGTTGAGAGAGTGGACGTCGCCATTAGATCTGCGGAAGAACTATGGGCAGTAAAATTCATGAACTTCATCGTGGGAACAAACCAGCTAATGTTCGAGGGCATAACACGGGAAATTCCAGTGTAAGCCCCAGGAACTTTAGCTCTTCTCTGTGCAACTGCAAACCAGTACTGTGTACCGATGAAAATACTCTGCTATGTTGGTTTCCAGAGTATGTAACTATGTATATGATGCTTTCCATCTTAGGAAGCGTTCTACTCAGTAGGTCTGATAGTAAATCAGGTCATTGCAGGATTGGGGTTGTCGAAGGTTCATGGATGATAGGAATTATAGATGAAATCCAAATGCCCACGGTTGGCATGTCATTGCAACCCATGCTGGTGGATACAAAGACACGTTCCACGCGAACAGCTCCATCAGAAGCACAAAAAAGAAATGGAAGGTTTGCTCCTTACATTTGCTTTCCTAACCATTTCACCTAGAGAATGGCAAATTATGTTGTGCGGCAAGCCGGCAAGTATGTTCCCTAGACTAGTGAAGACTTCTGCTTTGATCTGAAATTGCATGGACTTGTATTAATGCTCTTTTGGCCTGTTTACCATTGTTCAATCATAGCTTCAGTACCCAAAAAAGGGATTAATTGCTAGACTGTATTGTTTATGCAAATCTATCTTTGTACCTATATATGTAAATCTACGCAAGGAGAGAGAGAGGGAGAGGGAGACATTTGGCTTTGTCTTAAGAAATGGGAGCATCAAACTCTTTACTGAGGTACTCATACGACCATGACACCTGGGATCAAGCCTGGGTGTTCAGCCTCTCAACTGGAATCTCTACCAACCTTGTGATCGCTCAGTTTACTACAGGTTCCTATTGTTGCCAACTATGGTTTTTAGTTAGTTTTGTTTTAAGCAACAACTCTTAGGTCAATCATTCAGTATATGAATGTGGAACACTGCTTAAATTTGGTGGTACTGGGCAAGTGCTCTTTCTTACAACAGACTGTACACATGTTGTGCCTTTGTATTTGTGCCATTAAAAATGTATCATATTAATGTGACATCTTTTTTAAGCCATTGATGAGTGTTACTGTTTAGAAACAAAATCCATATGATTAGTAGCATATGTCGCTATCTTCAAGTTTTAATGTTTTGCCTCACAGTAATAAGATGGTAGGATGCTCTTGAAGAACATGGGAGAATGATAGCATCTATGAAGTTTGTATGATAGATGATTATCTGATTATGACAGGCTTCAACTGATGTGTTACAAGTATCTATGGGACAATTTGACCACAGAGAAATTCCCAGCAGAGAATTTCTTCAGCTATTTTGACCTGGACCCCAACTACTTGTTATCAGATGATGTCAAGGGGTACATTAGCTCATTGGGATTCGATGCAAAGGTGATATGTCTCACCTTTAAACTTTGTAGTTCTTCCTTCTAATAGTTCTCAGGCAATTTACTGTGATTGACCAACCAGTTTATTCATGGGAAATCATTCGCTGCGATGTGCTAGCAAATTGGGCAAATCCAGAAGTGTTTGCTAACACTGCTTTTTTTACTGTACTTTTGTATGTTCATTCATGCTACCGTCTACAACATGTTGTATGGTCCTTGCGAGTTATGACTTGTAACATGGTTTCTGTTTGCAGACCTTTGAAGATGTATTGAAATATTTCAAGGTTACCTGCCATACACTACCACGGTCTCAAGAACAGCTGCTCTTGAGGTAAATATGAGTTACAGGCTTACGGCCTAAACAGAAGTAATCTGTTGTACAGACTATTGAATGGCAAATCACTATTCTCTGGACCTTTTGCAAATGGGACACCGCAGATATAGAGAGAGAGAGTAATTTCCTAGTCCTTTACTGGTGCAGATATGAACTACAGGAAGACCATTCCCTGCTCGAAGAATACCGATTCACTTATGATGCTAGGTGGTTCAAGGATCAAATCCAGGAAGTCCTCAGCTTCTGGATAGGATCACGCGAACCTAAATTTGTAGCCGAAGAGGAGAGGTGGAAGTGCCGTTTCTGCAAATTTGTGTCAGATTGCCCAATGATTGCTTCCGTGCCAAGGTGTCGATGCTAACAAAAATTGCTCTGAATTGGTGGCTTGGCGAAATATTTGATGCTGAGTTCTGTAGCCTGGAGATAGTCTAGCTTTGGTCGCCTCTTTGTTTCCACAGGCGCGTATGTAATCTTAACATTTTGGGGTGGTGTGGTGTGTGTTGTATTTGGAGTCTCTCCCCCTTTTTCTTCTAAATATGAAGCACAGTTCTCCTGCGTCTTCGAGAAAAGAAATATTTGATGCTGAGCTGAAGAACCAATCGTGCAGATGAATTTGAAATGTAGCTCATTGTTATTTGACTCCATATGCAGCTTTGTAACTCGTATATTATTGATTGGCAACATGATTCTATTCTTGTTTTACATACCATAATGAAGAAATCACTTAATATTATTTTATGAGATTTGAATTTGGATCGATGGATTGTTAGTGTATTTGGGTTTACATTTTTACATCTCTGGAAACGGGGCTAGTGGTTTATACACAGATAGGAATTTGCGAGATAAAATAAGTAAATAGACCGCAGGGTAGAACACTTCATGGGGATCTTCTGAAAAAGAAGTATATGGCTCACATAAATAGAGGACCTGTTTACATACAAACACCACATATTCTAGTGACAAATTGATATTTGTTTTACAGAAACAACAAATGGAATCAACTGGCAGGTACTGTGAATCTTATATAGCAAACAATGTGGTCGTAACGGGAAAACAATTCAAATCATTCATAGATCTGATATCACTTTTAAACTCCTGTTCATGAACGAAACATATCTTTATAATCCGCTTCCCCTCCTGGTACTTGTCATACGAGTCACTTGCTTCCACCATTGACTACCAAGGCCTCTGGCTGCGGTGGCGCAACAATGTCCTTCACTGCATTCTCCACCTTGGGAGGACCAGAATGCCGCCGCATTGGTGAGGCAGCCGCAGTTCCACCTTGGAAGGACAACCTCTTCTTGACCGGTCCAGTAGAGCCTCCTTTCTCCGGTGTCTCTGCGCCATTGGTCATTGCTGAGCCCTGGAGGCGAGATTTGGCTCTTGCAGATTCCGTGGGAACCATGTAGCTTGGGAGTGATGGGGAGCTTGCGAGGCTTTCATCGTCCCGCACAGTCGAGGTGGCTATACTGTGCCTCCTTGGTCGCTCAGACTGCATGCTGAGCACACTCCTAGCGTCATCGTCCACCTGTGAAACACCATTCTTTGGCGTGGCGGATTTCCTCCTGGCAGGTATTGGTGCCACTTTAGCAGATGGTGTCGAAGGGGATTGCCTGGAGGCTGGACGGGTCGGTTTTGGAGTTGGTGGTGATGGCTTTTCTGGTTTTGAGTCCCGGCGGTTGAAAGCTTTTGTGATTTCACCCTCTCCAAGGTTCAAGCTCATACTCTTAACGGATCCGCGGTCAATGTTGCTCTCCTTGTCAGCCCCATTGCGGCCCTCCCAAGGTTTTGCTGCCATCCAGCGCTCCAACCAGCTCCAGCCCCACTGCAAGTTGTTTGGGTCTACAAACATTGGGTTGACAGATCTTGATGTATTCTTCCACTGTAAACAACACATTTCGAGACATTTTAAGCTTACAATCGTAGAGCCAGGATCAAGTATATATAGATTAGCATATGTTCTGAGAGCAGGAATTCCTACCTGATGTGAAAATGCATATGCAAGCGCTCTTTCTCTTCTTATCGCTGCTTCTTGTCTGCTTATCAGGCTTGCCTCGATTTGCTCCTTGGATTGAGTGCTGTCATCCCAGTTCTCACCCATCTGAGATAGCATTGTTCACAAACGAATATGTTTAATTCTCTCAATAATATTTTAAAATTATCTCGAGGCTTGGAGCAAATCAGACAAAAATGCTACTGATATTAGTTGAACAACACCAGCTCATGAAACTTTTACTGCAAAACTTTGAGAAGGTTTGCATACTCTGAAATTCTCCAATTCCTGTTTAAGTAGGAGCTGGCGTTGGAGAGCCTGGTTCTCCTCGGACATCTTTGCTCTCCTAGAACGTATTTGTGACTGCACCCGCGATAGAGTTTGCATACAGCGCAGAGTGCTTGCAGATTGACGCTTGACTGAATTACCCTCAACCAATGACTTCAATCGAACAAGGCCTCGCAGTGCTCTTAGTGCCCTCCTTGCCTACGTTATCACAATGACCAAACACTCAGTATAACGTTGTTTGTAAAAGTAAGATTCTTTTTCCCTTTCCATTTTTTTTTTTTTTTGCAGAGCGTAAAAGTAAGATTCTGCTTTACTATGAAACAAGTCAAATTTCCATGAAGTCGTATTTCCCAAAGAACAGAAGTTACGCCCACTAATTGCTATCTCATGGATAGTTCAATAGCAGGACAGACAGGCTATCAGTATCAAAAAATAATTGAAAAGAACATCAAAATGAGTGATGAAAGGTTGCTGCCACCAACTGCCAGTTGTTCAAGAATCATTTTTCTAACACTTTGCAAGAATGATTTGTCGGCCCTTTGGACAAATGCACATTGACATAAACAATAGACAAACCTAAAAAGTAAACAGCTAACTGAAGGAGAGGAATTAAACTAGAAATTAACAGCTCCTCCAGGTTCAACTAAAGCAATAAAATCTACTTCTTTAGCCATAAATTCCCATTTAGCCCACAAAGTAGTTAGATGAAAACAAGGCATGTAAATAGCTACAATATGCTAAGAGGTACCACTCCAAATTACAGTAACAGCAACTGGCCAACCAACACTTGCAAAGGTTGGCGAGCTCCCGACACCTAAAAGCTAGAACACGAAAAGAGAAAATATGCAGGGTAGCCACCAACACCAACAGACATTTGCTTGCATGCTCAGTCATGTCGATGTGGAAACGAAATCAGGAAAAAAACAAACCTCTTCCTAACCCCCAAATAGCAAAGACCTAATCAGCAGCTAAACAAACACTTCCATGATGTAATGCGACCATCTATCTATATAAACCAATTTCCAACTGTCACAATTGTTCTTATCTAAACATCTCAGGAAAAAAACCAAACCAGGTCCAAATGGCACCGAAGAAGTGATTTCACATTACCAGGTAACCTCGGAAGGCGGTCTGGATCTTGACTGCAGCGAGCTCTTCGGTTGGCACACCAGGTGGCAGCACCGACGCCTGTGCTGGGGCAGCAGGGGCCTCCTCCACGGTGACATGCTTGCTCTGCTCCTGCTCGGCTTCAGGGATCCTGACCTCCTCGGCCTGGTGAAGAACTGGAGGAGCTGGAGCTGGAGGGGGTGGCACCGAAACATCGACTTCCAAGGAGGTAGATGGGGTCAGATCTAGCGGTGTTGGGTTGCTAGCTGCTGATTTCCTCCTTAGTCTCTGTTAATTTCAAGTGCAAAGTTTTGGATTGTGATCAGAATTCAGTTCGAACTGTAGTGAAAAAACAAATGCAAGAAAAAAAAGGCGGCGCTTTGATCGCAGATCTGAAAGGGGAGGAAATGCCGTCTTGACAACAATGCTGTTGAAACTACAGAGTGCCAACTTTTTTTTTTCCGAATTACTACAGAGTGCCAACTGCCGAACCAAAAATTCAGTATTTTCTTTTCCATATACAAAACACGAAAGCCCAATCGAAACGAGGACGGCGGCTGATAAGTCCGAAAACGGTGAACAAGATGCCGTTTTTTTACCATGAACACTTGAACTGAAGCTACTGAATTCTTCGGAATTGGGCGAGGGAAACACGAACCCGATCAGATCCGAGAGAAAACGCCCCCCAAAAAAATTCCAAAACAAAACCCGCAAAACGCAAGAGAAATCCAAGGGGCCGGGGAAGCGTGAAGCATCACCTCCTCCTCCTTCTTCTTGGATTCAGGGCTGAAGACCTTCTTGACGGCGCCGAACCACTTGCCCTTCTTCCCCATGGCGCCACTCCACGCTCCTCGAAACAGTCACCCTGGCTGGCACCTGGAGAGGAGCAAACAAGTCACGAACCAAACCACCTGTCTGGAGACGACGGGTGTCAAACCACATACAACTTTATCGGAAGAAGAAACGCCCAAATCTTCGTGCGGAAGCAAAGGGAAGGAAGGCGAGCGGTCAGGCTAGCTGTTTCGGTTGTGCGCAGGCAGAGGCGGGCGAGAGGAAGGCGTAGTCAGAGGCGTGGGAGGACAGCTGAGCTCCGCGGCAGCCCGCAATGCAATCATGTCGCGTGGGAGGCCGCGGGAGGTGGATGGAGGTGCGAGGAGCGGGGGCGGCAGGAGGAGCAGGCACCGGACAGCCGAGGCCAACGATTTTTGGCTGGAGCTTGAAGCCTGACAGGGTTGCAGTGCAGGAGCAGTGGCGACTGGCGAGGGAGGGAGAAGGAGAAGCAGAGAGCGAGCTGGAGGGAAGCGTGTGCACGTTACCTTAGGTGAGTCTTGCGATGCCCGCTGCTGCTCCTCTCCTCCTCCTCCCTCCCGGCAGTGACGTGGGGTAGGAGTATTTAGGGGGGAAAGCTACGGGATATTTAACTTTTTACCGTTACCACAGATCTATCTTTTCACATATCACTCTTAAAATTGCTCATATTTACTATCGAGAGAAAGCATTTTATACATTCTTGCCATTTTCGTTGACGTGACACGCCAACTCGACCTGACAGCATAGACCGGCCACGAGAAATAACATTTTTGCCCCTTATCTATTTCTTCTATCTTTATCCCTTCCTCGCTCGACCTCTTGCCGGAACGCGGCGGGGTCCAGCAGCGACGAGAGGGAGCCGTCCAGGTAGAAGGACTCGTGCTGAAAGCCGCCGAGGAGGGCGCGTGTGATGTCCAGCGCGTGCTTGGCCAGCTGCGGGGAGTACACCGGGATCTTGGTGAGCGATCGAGTGGCCGCCGCGAGCTCCAGCCCCGCGGCGCGCATCAGGTGCACGAGGTGCCCTACAAACGCCCGCGTCGCCGCGCGGGCCTGCTCGGCACAGGAGATGAACAGCTCCGCCGTCGGGGCCATTCTGCTTGGAGAGCGGGTGGTGGTGGTGGCGCCCGTTACGGCGGCTGGTGGCCACCGCGAGCTTCTTCTTGAGCCCGTCCACCTTGGCCTGCTTGGGTTGGAGCTGGCGCTGGAGGTCATCGAGCGCCGCCTCGTACGGCGCCACGACCTCGTGGAGGGGCGGCGCGGAAGGGTTTGGGCATGGGATGTGGCCCGCGGCGGCGGAGCGGCGGAAGCGGTCGCGGAGGCGTGCGAGGTGGCGGAGCTCGGCGACGACGGCCGCGTCCGTGGCGCGCATCTTGTCGGGGTCCCAGGGGCAGTGCGCGCCCTGGAGCGCGGCGCACCCCGAAGACAGCGTCGAACACCTCCGCCATCAGCGCGTTCGCGTCGCGGGTGCGCTCGACGCCCTTGGCCGCGGTGGCCAGCCTCTCCTGCTCCTGCTCCCCATCCTCCCAGATCTTGAGCTTCTCCTCCTCCTCCTCCTCCTCCCCCTCCTCTTCCTTGATTTCCTCCACCTCCGCAGCGGGCGGGGACCGCCAGCATTTCTCGCTGCTGAAGATGGCGTCGGCGAAGGGGTTGTCGTCGTCGTCGTCCAGGTTGCTGTCGATGGAGTCGCGAAGGGTGTAGTTGCAGGGCAGGCGGTTGGAGAGGCAGGAGGAGGCGACGCGGTGGATGAGGTCGCCGACGATGACCGGCTTGGTCGCCATTCCTCGGCGCTGCGACCAAGCCTTCCCCTGCGGGCTGCGGCCATGTTCGTCGCCGGCGTCGGGCGCGTCCGTGGACCTGTAGGCCGTGGCCCCGGCTGCCTTGCCCCCAACTTCCCCTATGTCCTATCAGCCGCCGCCATGGACCCCATCGTCGGCCATGGTCGGAGCTCGAGCGAGGAAGGGATAGATATAGAAGAAATAGATGAGGGGCAAAAATGTCATTTCCCGTGTCCGGTCTATACTGTCAGGTCGAGTTGGCGTGCCACGTCAGCGAAAATGGCAAGAATGTATCAAATGCTCTCTCTCGATGGTAAATATATATAAGCAATTTTAAGAGTACTATTCGAAGAGGTGACATCCGTTATAATAGTAAAAAATTAAATATCCAAAAAGCTGGGGACTTTGGACAGCTTGGAGACAGCGGGTGGGGGAGGGAGGGGAAGGGGCTGATGGTATTGGAATCTCCACTAGTCCAATAAAGATCCTGATTGGTATCAAGGTGCATCATTTTTATGTAATTCGTGTAATTTGGTTGTTCAAGCTGGTTGATGTGGTGCAAGCTGTGTTTTGTTTGAATTATTGCTGCATTTCTATTTCAGCCTTAGTCGGATGATGAAAAAAATGGCAATCAAATCGGGAAACCAATCGAGTCCATAGTTTATGGCCCTGTTCGCTTGTCTTGCCGTACTTTTAGTGAACGAACAATATTTTTCTCTCATAACAAATCAGCCAACAATACTTTTCAGTCTGACTTATCAACCAAGCGAACAGGGCCATATATCCTTCGGTCTCGCCTTGTGTTCCCACGAGTACGTTTAAAAATGAAAACTTTGTACTACATCCATCCCCAAATAATGTAATTATAGATTTGGCTAAAGTTAAGCTATCTTAAAGTTAACTAAATTTACAAAAAAATTATCAATGACTCTAAATATATATATTATACAGATATATTTTATGATGAATTAATGATATTTATTTAATACGATATGTATCAGTACCTTTTTTATATAATATTTTCTCGGGTTTCAAATGTTGAGGGTCTATTTGGAACACATGAATTTCGCAGGAATGGTGTATGAACTTTATAGGAATCGGTTCAATTTCACAAGAAAAATCCAAGAATAAGAAAATTTTCCCATGTTTCAAACAAACCATGAATCGACACTACTCTAGAATTGGATTTCGTTTTGGAAGAGCGATACTTCTTCCTACTGCTCTCTCTATCCTAAAAAGAACGTAATTTTCACTTTTCGAGAAGCCAAATAATTTGAACTTTGATCATCTCTATATAAAAATACTAATACTTTTATATGAAATAAGTATCATTAGATTAATTATAAATATTTTCATACTAAATCTATTTAGGGATATAAATATTGATATTTTTCGTGTAAAATGGGTTAAATTTGAGAAAAATTGACTAATCTTAAATTTAGGATTGTTTTTTTTAGAGCCGAGGGAGTAGTAAAAGCTCTCCAAACTTTGACAGAACCAGCTAGACGTGACCCTGAAGATCTGAAGATGACAACTGACACGACAGAATCAATCCTTGATCCTTCGGTCTGAAGCATGGAGTGATGCAACAAGCAGTTCCAGGATCTGGCTGCCATTCAGATTCAGGACCTGCGTGCCTGCATGGCCGTTGAAGTATGGCACGGTGTGGTCAGCGTAGTTGGAATTTTCCCTTCACCCTAAGTCACGCATGCTCAACGAGACAGGAAATGCAGATCAAGTTCAATTTGAGAAAATACAGGGGTGAAAACCATATGCTAGGTAAAAACATGGAAAGTAATTTAAAAAACGTATTTTGATCATTCAATTTTTTTTATAAATTTGGTACATCCATAGCGCATACAAATACATACTCGTATGTAAAAGTTGGGATGCAAACTCAAACTAAAAAAATCAGACAAAGTTAAAAAAATCTTTTAGATGCATGGATTTTGTTTTCTAGTGCACATACACCTGAAATTTGTAAATTCTATATGAATCTTTAAAAGCGAGTTTGCATCTCAATTTTTGCATGTGAGCACTACGCGATGCATCAAATCGATAGTCATATTTTCACTTAGTACGTGGTTTGCACCGTGTATTTTGCCAACTTGCAGCTAGGTAATGGCTGGTTAGTTTTGACATTACTCGTGCCAGTTGAGCGTGTGTAGTAACGAACTGAGGTAATGACTGGTTAGTTCTGACATTACTCGTGACGGATAAAGCTGAAATCCGCATCACATAAACACTGAGGTAGGTAAATGCCACGGATGCACATATATATACTCATCATGCTATAGCTTACTTGCTGTACCATACATGCAAATAAATTGGGTACGACGGTGCAGGACAGCAACCACTGTTCTGCAGTATGCTATCTGTCAAGTTCTGTCATTAGCTAGTATATATATCTGCAAGTAAAATGGAGATACTTTATACCAAATAAAAGAGAACAAAATGGTAATGATTGAGTTTATCCTATGTATGTATATATGTGCCCAAGTGGCAAGGTATCATTTGGTGGTTGGTGCTCAATGATATGCCAACTCAGCACAACGTGCTTCTATTTCTCTGCCATGTTTATCAGCGGCTGGGGCTGGCTGGCTGGGCTGACCAGCCCCTCACATGAACAATGTACACATGAATCAGTTAATAATATTTCTCTCTCACATAAATGAATCAGCAACGATACGAACCAGCCAACCGAACAGGCTGTATGTTGCCTGGCTCCGGCCCCGATGTAAGCGCGGTTGCGCTGGCAACACTCTATTGATTAAACACTGCAGATTCATGCACTACACCCAAAAATCTCATCTCTTTCCCTGCAAAAACTTCTCAGTTGTCATTTCACATAAATAATTGATAGTAGTTCAGAAAAAACAACAACTCATTATGCCTGTTAATTGAGCCTGGAGTATTTACACTACACATAAATCCAAGCCACAAGACGTTGAAATTGTGTCTTTTTGCCAGTATGATGCTTAGCCCTTGTTTAGTTGCTACCCAATTTCCAAAAAGTTGCTACAGTACCTGTCACATCGAATGTTTACGGTCCATGCATGGAGCATTAAATGTAGACGAAAAGAAAAACTAATTGCACAGTTTGGTGGGAAATTACGAGACGAACATTTTAAGCCTAATTAGTCAATGTTTGGACACTATTTGCCAAATAAAAACGAAGGTGCTACAGTAGACCCAAAATCCAAATTTCGCGAACTAAACAAGGGCTTAGTTAATCTTTTTACTAGTAAACAGGCACCAAGGCCATGATGGCTGAGACAGTGAGACTATGGTAGAACCGCATGCATGCATGTGGACAGGAATAGCAACCTGATGCTTTGTCTTGTTATAATAGCAGTACAAGGACTAACACCAAGGCTTAGAATAACCAGACACGATACTAGAGGTCAAGCGGTAGCAAACATGGTCAAACAAACACTAATGATCGACGCGTATATATTATATATAGGAGTCCTAGACGATAATGCACAGAATTGAGTGTCTCACTCATAGTGTTCCCCATCAGCTGTTTAAATAATGAATATGTCACGAGCTGCAAAGCGACAGCCTAACACGCGAGTTCTTCTTTAATCTGTTTGCTCTGAGATCTAGTATATTATTATTATGGAGTAGTTTTCACAGTCGCATATGTGCAGTGGAGTATCATGGTTTATTTTTTTCTTCATTCCGAGCACTGTAGCTAGGCCCCACAAAGTGTGGTTCCCAAAGTTAACTAAGGGCAAGCAGTAAAGCTTCCTCAGCTTTTGAATTTCTATGGAGATTGATTTTGCAGTTGAAAATGGAGGATCTCTAGAATAAGCTTTTATGAAGAAATTAAGTGATTTTGTGCAAGAAATGAATTAAGATAAGCTGTTTTTGTTTTCAATTGACATGCATCGAAACGAGGAGTGATTCTCTGCAAAATATCTTTTGGCATAGGTCCCAAAGCTTCTGTTTCTACACTCGTGTTGGCGGAGATCACCCATGGGGGTATCTATCGGGGCGGTGCCAATCATACCTAGGACTCATGTTGTTGATCGCATTGGCGAGTCTTTTCCCAATCCGTTTATCGGGATTTTCACTCCCGCCAATCATTGATTAGCGTTTCTTTCAGTTTTTCTGATCCAAGTTTGGTTTGTGTCGCTCGCTGTTATTGTCTTCGTGCGCCTCTACTGACATTAGCCTCGATTATTCATCACTGAGCGTGCGGTATGGCATGGCTTGCAACGTTCCAAGAGATGTCTGCATATGTCGCCTCTACGCATCTTCGTCTACACATCGTTAACCACCGACACCTCATGGCCTCCAAATGATAGTGACGCCACTACCACGACCTCCGCCATACGTCACCATTCGCACCGCCCTAATGTGATCCATTAGATCATTACCTATGCTCTAGCTACTGACCTCACCTCTTTGATGCGAGCACCCAGCCTAGCGTTGGGCAATACAAGTCAGTGCAACACCAACTCCACCCTCGACATCATTGTTGTTGTTTTCGACCTCGCGTGCAATCAGTCATATCAACTTAGAGTGCGCAACCTACTTTGCCTCATTGCATGATCGGTCCGATCAACTATTTGCATGCACCTTCGCTTCATAGGATTCCATGGAGTTTATCCTCGGAGTACTGCATGCCTACTCTCTAAGCAATGGGGCTTCTACTGCATTGCCTTGTTGCGCTGCAACATTGTGTGGCAGAACCGCCCGAAATAACACACCTTCAGAAGCGCTAGTCTTCCACCAGACACTAAGCACCCCGAAAGCAAGCTACATCGGGCGGATTCCGTCGAGCACACCCTAAGGGAGAACTCAAAAATTTCACATTTTCCTCCAGGATCCAATAATGAGAATGAGTTTATGATACTTAGTCCATTTCATACAACCAGAGTTCTTAGAAATACATTATTACAGTACCAAATTCAGAGTGCGGAATTTAAACAGCGGAATTAAAATAAACATCTATCGATAATATACAAGGATTTGTCTGTGCCCACCAAAAGAAT